ACGTGGATGTTTCATTACCTATGTTTTGTCCATGTTCATTTTAAGACCTATCCATTGGGAGACACTATCGAGGTCATTGAGCATAGTTTGTCGTACTTTGTGGCATTCGTTGAGAAAGGCCTATGTTCAGCAGTTGACTTGTTCGGACCGCTATTTGTCGTAAGAAGTGACATCTTTCTGACCTTTCCCATAGCCATCTCTTACTGCTCATATCTATTCATCGTCGTGACAAAGTGACCTTAAGGATACTCACACGCCGCCAATACATGGCGCACTCATTAAATCATCGTCAACACTATTACAGCTCTCAAAAGTCCATTATTGCATATAAGCCTCTTGCATAGATCGCCTCATAGGGGAGATTTTCTCCATAATTGCACGCTTAGGGTTGTCAACTACAATTTTTATTACTTTCCGTTGATATCCGAAAATATTGCTGCCTACCTCCTGTTTTGGTTTCCGTGGGTGTAGTGAAAGGCGACTGACAGACTAACTCCTAAATATGCCATATTAATGTCCTTCAGACCGAATTCTGGTCACGGCTGCCAACCTCAACAGAGACTAGCCAATAGCAATCGGCGTAGAGAGAGATCAGGCGTAGGACCAACGGCGGTGCGATGCTTTCCAAGGCACGGGGGTGAGACACCGCCCTCGAGCCGCCCGTGAGAAACTCATTAACTGAAATTTTTGGAACGATATGAATATGCCATATGCCATGCGTGTTACTTATTTGTGTAAAAGACGCAAATTATGTGTTTACTGCTGAACATAGGTCTCCAAGATAGGTTGCCTCACAGGCTGGATGTGGAGGAAGCTTGGTAGACGGCCTTACAACCACAGTTTCTTCATTATCTTGAGTAGTTATCGGTGAGATGCTGCTGCACATCTACTTTTTTATAGAATAAGGTTGACAAACGAGCACACAGTCCACCTGATGGTAAGTGAATACTGTGGCCCATAGACATCTACATCTATCCTCGATTAAGAATCAAAACGACGACTCCGTAGCGCAGTGGCTTACCAATGAGTGGCTGCGCTGGGGGTCGCGGGTTCGAATCCCGCACGGAACAAGTATTTGTATGGCCTACAAATAGTTGTTCCGGGTCTGGATGTTTTTCCTTGTGCAATTTATGTTTGTAAACTGCCCCTACAATACAAGAGAAAATCTTAGTGTATGGGTAACGTTTTTTAAATAATAAAAAAAAACGTAAATGCATTGACACTCCTGAGGACTAATATGGAATGCCTCGTTTCCAGTAAAAGAGGGTCTCCGGATCTCTACACTCACCATACGAAACATAGCAGCATCAAGCTGCTATTTTACGCTGGTATTCTAGTTAGAGCGTCGTCCTTCCTCGGTCGAGCTGACCCATTCGTGCTACAACCTTAATATAGCTACAGCGTGGCTCTACCACGTATAGAATCTCCTATTTCAGTTTCCATCCGTCGCATCTTATGACCACGAGGTGATATGCGGCTATGAGTATTCTTACGCCGCCACAACTAGTGTTGCCAGGTCTAGCAAGTAAAATTTCGGGACTGAAGGTAAAAATAATCGGTAATTTGGTTTTCACATCGGGACATCTACAATTGCTACAAAATATAGTAACCTGGGTTCGATCCCCGCTGGCACCAATGAAATTATTAATTCCAATTTTAACTGTTGATTTACCACGTAGATACTCAGTGGTGAAGAAAAACATCGTGAGGTAACCTGCATGTCTGAGGAATTAAAAAAAATTCTTTCGAAGACATGTGAAGTTCGCCAACACGCATTGGGGCAGCGTGGCGGACACTCTCTTGCCCTAAAACTCTCTCAGAAATGAGGGGAAGCCTGTGCCCAGCAGTGGGACGTATATAGGCCGTAACTTTACTTTGGTTTACTTTAGTTTACTTTACTTTTGTGCTTTATAATTATTATTCGGGTCTGATCTCATGAACGAATAACTTTTTATCCAAACATCGTAAAAACTGCATTTTTTTAGTTTTAGGCAAATCAAAACATTTTTGAACTATTTGTTTTTTTTTCTGCAGTCTCTGAATTTTTCAAATCACTCATTTTAATATAATTCTGTTTTAAACTTTGGTGGTTTTTTTCGACTGGTGAGAAAATGTCGTAGTAAAAATATTTTAATGTAGTAGTAGCTAACAGATGTAATAATTTTTGCTGTCAAAATTATGTATTAAAGTGTAGACTAAGAAGGTTAGTGAAATTCGGGACATTTGGCGTCCCGATCAAAGGTGAATCGGGACGTGTCACCAGACCCTTGAAAATCGGGACGTCCCGCACAAATCGGGACACATGGCAACACTAGCCACAACAACTTATCTATATATGCAAATAAATAAAATTGAGCTGTCTGTTTGTAATATCAAAATAACAGCTATTTACTAAATGCATATGAAAGTAAAGGTATACGGTCTTTTAACTAAAACATAATTTTTAAAATTTTTGCCTATCTGTCTATCCGTCTCCCTGAGTACGTCTGTTTGTTCCGGCTAATCTCCGAAATGGCTGGATCGATTTTGATTGATTTTGATTCTTTCACTGGCAGATAGCTGACTTTATAAGGAGTAACTTAGGTTACTTTAATTTTAGAAAAAGAATCAGGCTTCCGCGCAAAAAAATTAAAATCGTAAAATACACACGGGCAAAGTCGCGGGAACAGCCAGTACTAAATATATACAAACGAGTTCTATAAGTTAAAATAAATTTTTAATTTAAATTATCTTGAGCCATTGATTTATTAGTTTTAAAACGACTTCTAAGACATTACAAAAAAGAGATTAATCGTGAAGACATTTTGTCTAGATAACGTCAACAGCCTTTTTACAAAATAACATACAAAATACAAATACAGCTTCGAAAGAGCACTCAGTGCGAAATTAAAGCTATAAAAAGCTCTACGGAGATTTCGATGTACACAAAAACTACATCACATCTATTAACTACACTTACACTAATAGACTGAACCGTTAACGGAATTGCCCGCGTCTTTGCTATCCTATTAAATCATAGAAGTGGTTTTATTATTAAAAAGGAATTCCTTATTGTTCGTTACAAAACAAGCAAAACCATGTTTCATTGAAATAGCGTCTATAAATGCTTATCAGAAATCACCCTGCTGATTAAACGCTTATGTTTAATCATAGTTGCCAATTTATTGTTTTTCCATAATTTACGGGAGAAACTTATCAACCTATTAAGAAGCAAGATAATTTTATCAAAGTACTTTATTTAATAGTTATTTACTGCAATATAGCGACCCTATGGTTGCTATATTGCAGTAAATAACTATTAAAAGTTTGATAATGATAAAAATGAGTGTTGAATTGCTATCAATTCAACACTCATTTTTATCATTATCAAACCTTTTTGTGATTCTATTTATTTTCCAATGTTCCGTAAGCAGTATTCTGCTGAACCTAATAACTATTACCGCCTCTTACATAACTAATATAATTTGGCACATGGTAGACGGAATGTCAATCATAAAAATAGACTCTCTATGCCCTCTTCGCCGGATAGGATATATTTACCATAAAAGAGACGTTATAGATATATATTATGCTTATTCTTTATCAGCTATATATCCCTGTCGGGCAGCAGCCGACATCAGCCTGGGGCGACGCTACTCTGTCGTAAACGAGATAGCGATATCGCCATCTCATCATCATCATCATTATCATTACAGCCCTTCACAAGTCCACTGCTGAACGTAGGCCTACCCCAAGTAATGCCACAAAGAACGGTCCTGAGCCACCTGCATCCATCGACTTCCTGCGTGTCTTACCAGGTCGTCACTCCATCTAGGGGGGGTCGCCCTACACTACGCCTACCGGTACGAGGCTGCCACTCGAGAACCTTTCTTCCCCATCGGTTATCGGTTCTTCGAGCTATATGGCCGGCCCATTGCCACTTCAGCTTACTAATCCGATGGGCTATATCGGTCACTCTGGTTTTACTACGGATATCCTCATTTCTGAGTCTATCACGCAGAGAAACTCCGAGAATAGCCCTCTCCATAGCTCGCTGAGCGCCCTGCGAGCGAGCTATCGCCATCTATTGAAAGATAATAAAGAATATTTCGAAAAATAGTATATTTTTGGCATTTAGTCACCTCGGAGGAGGAACCTCCCACGCCGCCACTACACAGCGTAATTCTCACAGTCAACTCATCCATATAATTAAATGGGATGATCCAACCTTTATAAGGCCGGCCACACACATACGGAATTCCGAAACGGAATTCTGATTCGGGATTTCAAACGCAGCAAGTCCATATCAAATTAATGACCCGTCACACACCTACAATATTTTTCCGTTCGAAATTTTGCGGACAAAACGAGATACCGCACGTTATTTTCGCCGACCCGTTCCGGAATCTCGAGAAAAGAATTCCGTATGTATGTGGCCGTCCTTAAATAGTAATTGCTGTCTAGAAGAATACAGCGCTTTTAATTAATGATAGTAAATTTCCTCATCAATAGTGTAAATTTATCTCTGAAACGCCTAATGCATACTACGCCTTTATTTTGAGACAAATATTTTAACTCTCGTAGAAACGTAGAAATACTATTTATTTTTATAAATATATATATATATATATATATATATATATATATATATATATATATATATATATATATATATATAAATTTAACTACGTATGTTATGTTATGGTATTTTCCTTAATTTAAAAATGGAATATTAGCTTTTAGTAGGCAATACCGCAAGCGTATCCAACTTCAGTGTGCCTGACAAACGTCATGCGTGGGAGTTGTGTCGCCGGCTGACGCGTTTTTTATTTCAAATAAAATCCACAAAAACCGTTAGAAAACGAAAAATATTCATTTAAACATCGCAAAATGTGTTTACCAGTGATACAAACAATTTATGTGTGTTTCGAATGTTAAAATGTTCAAGTAACTAAACAAGGCGTCTATATAATTCATTGTTGTTCGGTCAAACCTTAAAGTTATGAATTCGTAATTACAACATGGAGGACGTTTATACTATTAAAGTGAAAACAAAACCTGACACGAGGAATTTATATCCTTCGGAGAGGAGGTATTCGGCATCAACCGTGTCAGGTCTGGCATGGGTCCACATAGCTTTGGCCGCGACATCATTCCTTCTCGCTTGTTTAGCTTTATACAATCCAAATTCAGAGTTAGAAGCGAATTTGAATGGCACCGTTAAGAACAATTCGTTATTCAATTATGAAGATTCTATACCAGAAGACAATGTAACGGGCAATGTGACAGCGAAACAAGAAAACAGTTTTATGTTAGTTTTAGCGCCGTCGCTCCTTACGATGTTCGCATTAGCCGCCGGCATAGCTTCGATCATGGCCTCTGTGAGGTGGTACATAGATCATAACATAACCTGGTTGTTTGCTATGTCAGTACTATCGACCGTGTTTTCTTTAATAGCCTTTATAATGATCGCTGTATGGTTTATTACGACATCAGAAGATGATATATCGGACTTTTATAAAGACAAAGTACCGTTTAAAGACTTCATTGTTATTAAGCACAGCGACGTTATTGATAGGAACGAGTCTCATATGATTATTGCTAACAACGCGTCTACTGTTAAGGACGAAAATTCTCATTTATTTACTAAACGTGTTTTATCTATAAACATATTGATAGCGGCGTTCCTGGAATTACTCTGGTCTATTTTAAGCGTTAAAATATCTTACAAAGGCATGAGAAACAATTACAAAGAAGATCATAACGAAAGAAGAGGCAACTGCATATCGGTAGTGACGAAAATAAAGGGCAACAACACTTCTAAAATACCAAGAAACGGGAAGCTTCTGCCACCGAAACAGGATTTAATAGATCATTATCCCAGCAAAAAAATTAAAAGGATTTTCCTAGCGCAAAGCGACAACGGATTTTATCTGAAAAACCAAAATAACAAAACCAAACAAAACACAGAAACTAGTTCGGAGTTTTATAAAGAACGGATGATGAGCTTTTTGAATCGTTGCGCGTCGTTGGAGGGAATTTCTAATTCAGAAATGAGGACCCCTAGTGTTCAGTCTGAAGCTGTACTTAATCCCATTCCAGAAGGTGTTAGCGTAGATATAAATTCACAAGAATCGACAGCACAACCCGAAATGAGAGACGGATTGACGCCGGTAAGCTGGGGCGATACGCCGGACCATACGATTTATAATCAAAACACTTTAAATTTCGAAAAGATTTTTAATTTTGCCACCTTAAAACCGCAAGATACTACTGGCACGAACGACGACGACAAGAAACCAAACGAAGAAATAAGTGAAAATATGCAGCATAATTAATTAAGCATAACTGAGATCTAATCTTGAATGAGACTATGCTAAAGTGTAGAAAGTGTTTTTTTTTTTAACGGAATTTGGGACGTTACATTGTTATTATATAATCGTAATGTTTCGAACTATAATATGACTGCAAAATACTTTACTATTTTTTACTTTATTGTGTGTTAATTTTGTAAATAGCGCTATTAATTTTATTAAAATAATTTACTACTATTTTGGCATATTTTGCAAGAATTACATATTTAAAAAAACTTAATAATGCTCTTGTTATAATACTCATATTATTCTAAAAGTAAACCAAGAGAGCCACATGAAATATATATAATTAAATTGAAATATGATATATTATAATATAATGTTATAGTTTCAGAGTATAGAGTGTAGAAGTAAGGAGTGCAGACTGTGTATTAAAAAGTGTCCATAGAAAACAGTTAAATAAGGGTGGCGCTACTATAGCCACGGGCTAAATTTTAAAGAACGTGCCGAAAAATATTAGTGGGATAGACGACTTTTTTTGAGGTTCTATTTTCTAAATAAAATTATTTTAGATTTTAGAGCTACTGAGCAGTTTAGCAGCACACTTTAAACCGTCGACAACTGCTAAGTTCATTTTATCCCAGTAGCTACTCCAGCGCTGTTGTGGAGAGTTTTTGACAGTTTTTGAACTGTTATTTACTGCTTACAGATGGCCACTTTTTCAACTATTCTACTATGGGAGTTGGTGCTCCTTACTTCTACACTCCATATTACAGAGATTATTCCACCCAGGTATAACTAACATCAGATGATAAACCATATTATTTCCCTTTAATAGTAGACTCGCAGGGTGGTCCTTTTGCCTGTTTCAAGTAATTATAAAGAATATTCTTTTAAAAATTTGTTCAAAAACTTCTCTACAATCTACATGATGAAGATGCATCATACTGCGGTTAGTTTGAGAGATTTCGACGGCAGCTTAAGTCAGCAGATAATCGATCGAATCGATCGCCAAAGTGGACAAAATAACCTGAGATTTTTATCAGCATCAGAGCATGTGGTACGTGGCTTCTACTGATAGTTCACAGGTGCAGACATTTAACACACAAAATTGCATAACTTTTACGCAGAATCCACTTCAAAACAATTTAAAGTCAAGTTCCCACCAAAAACAATTTAAAATTTCCACTATATTATCGATGAACTAGCGTGACTTCTTCCCTAACTAGTTGGAACTACAAACAAAAAGTCACGCTTAAAAGTAAATCTACGTTTTACGTGGTCTTTAAAACTATTTACGAATTAAGCGTCTTATCGCACGAACTCATATCTTTGTAGTTATGGCAAGAATAACAATGCGTTTAAAACTGTATTCAAAACAAAAAACCAGTGTTTTGTTATCAGGAAGTAGTTTGCATAACGCTTTAAATATAGTCTGTACTTAGCTGTTAAAAATCTTTATTTATAAACTTACTAGTAATAAATGACAGGATTTTTTTAAGTCACAATAAAAATATTGACACATTTGTCCGATTCACGTAAAGTGACGGCTAGCGAATTTAAGCAAAAATTTTTGTAAAAGCATTTCTGGACCCTGCCATTTGCGCCAAACGTCCAAATGACGTGTTATTGTTGCTATTGAGCTAAGTTATTTTGGCTTACATAACAATAATTCTGCCGTTAGTTAATAATTAAATAATCTTTATATAATATATATTATACGATATATAATATATAAACAATATAGGTAAAGATATAATATAAAGATGCCCTATTATATTATAAAAATTAAATGTCACGTTGTTTGTCCGCGATGAACTACTAAACTACTCAACTGATTTCAATGAAATTTTGTATTGCTTGCTCCAATTCGAGAGACAGGATAGTTTTCAGATAAGTGACCCACAATATTTTTTGTTGCGAGTTTAAGGATTTTTTATAGGACAAAGTGTCGTCGGAACAGGCAGAACGACGGCTGTCTAGCCAGCCTTGTTCTTTAATTGTATACAAAAGATACTGTTAAGTTTTTATTTAAAATACAGCAATAGAGTTACGTGTGCGTACCGCAATAAAAAAAATTTGCAAAACCTACTTCGTTACTTCCTTTTGTGCATTGACTGTTATTGTGCCTAGAGCTGCCATCTTTTTTTGAACAAATATAGTATTAGTCGCAACACTACGTGTACGTATCGCAATAAAAATATTTTTGCAATACTTACTTAATTCGTTATATATAATTATAACTATTATCTACTTCCTTATGTGCATTGACCATTATTGTGCCGTAATAATTTAATGAAATTATGATAACTGAAAGCAGTTTTACTCAAATATCTATGTTAAGTGCATGTACCTATGATTTAGCCAAGATTAAATTTATTTCGGAATAAGAACGCTAAGGGCGTATATTGTGTGATCTTCATTAGATTTAATCGCAATTTTGTACTTTTTTATAATTTGTTAATCGATTTTTCATATTAAATTGCTGATGCGATTATTATGCGGTTTTCATTTAACCTAAAAACTAAAATCAGAATTATGTTTTAACCATCTGTTTAAGATCATTTTGGTTTTAATTGTGTAGTAAATACGCATAACGTACACTTAAAATCTGTAAAAACAAGAGAAACGTATTATTTAAATTGAAACGCTAACTGCGTGCTTACAAACAAAGTAATTAAAGGTAACATGAACGATCACTAACACTCGCGTGAACAGGTACAACTTAAATATTTTGAAATCTTTTACTTTTTATATACAAGTGGGCAAACGAGCATGCGGCTCACCTGATGCTAAGTGACTACCACCGCTCATGAACAACCGCAACACCAGGGGAATTCCAGGTGCGTTGCCGGCCTTTTAGAAAGGAGTAAGCTCATTTCTTGAAGGTCCCTATGTCGTATCGGTCCGGAAAAATCGCCGGTGGTAAACAATTCCACAGAGAGGTCGTACGCGGAAGAAAAATTCTTCTGAATCGTATAGTGGTGGACCGCCAAGCATCCAAATGGTGTGGATGGTATCGGGACGTTTGCCGCGTAGTGCGTTCACAAAATTTGGCGGCTGAGATTAATCCGAACAAATCCTCAGAGCAATCCCCATGGTATATGCGAAAGAAAATGCACAGAGATGCAACATCTCTTCTACGACAAACAGTTTGAAAGCACTCGGTCGTCGACGATTCGAGCCGCTCTGAAGTGGAAGGAGCTGGCACTGGGGAGTCCCAGCCCATAGATGGGAACAGTATTCCATGTACGGCCGAACCTGCGCTTTGTAAAGTCGCAGGAGTGTGCCGGCATGAAATACTGTCCCACTCTGCTGAGCAGGCCAAGCTTTTTTGTGGCCAAATTGGCCTAATCTTCCAAGTGACCACGAAACTGCACGTCACTCGATATGTCGACGCCGAGGATTCCGTTACTGGCTGACGCAACAAGGAGAGTGCCGTGAAACTGAGTAGATACGAGAAAAGGGTTCTTTTTAGCGGTTACGAACTTTCGAATAAACATTAAATTTGTCTAAAACGTTATGTTTTCCTGACAGCCACAGAAGCAAGAAGGAGGGTAGTGTTTTCCGGAGATATATATTATATGTAAGTATGTATGTATATCGTATTTCTGTTTCTTTGGCACTTTGTAGCCTAACAGCTTGATGGATTTTAACACATGAGGCAACATGAGGTGTCGTTCGATTCGACTTTATTGTGGAGTGACATAGGCAGTAGACTATACATAATATGTATTCATAAATTGCATCTGTAACTAAAGTATGTATAAAAAGGGTTATTATAATATTAAGGAATTTATGGATGATAATAACCCTTGGAAAAGGAGATATTTAATTTTTTTTTGTTTATTTTACATGATTGAAGCTGTTTTTTTTTGCCCACTGAGTTTCTTGCTGGATCTTTCCAGGACAGAGGTTTTTTCCGAACCAGTGGTAAATTAAAAACAAAGACTTAATAAGTATTATTTATAATCTATATTGAATAAAAAAGTTTCTGTTTCAAAACAAAAAGAAAGGTTTTTGGTAAAGGGAAAGGTTTTTGGTAAACTTTTTAACGCAAGCGGCGTTTTTAATAAATGTTTTAACCGTTAACCATATTGAAGGCACAACAATCAACTAATACAGCAAAGCAAATGTTTCTTTTGTTACGCGTACTCCGTGATAAGCTAAATGACTATTAAACGAAATGGCTGTAGAAAATACATTAAAACTATTCTAAATTCTGCTCGCTGTGTTATTTATATTTAATTCCAAGCCCATAATTTAAAACAACAAAGGTGAAAGGGCTTTGTTTAACTGAGTCAGTACCCTATATCATCTTCGACTAGATCACCATTTACAATCAGGTAGAATAATAATCAAGAGTATTAAATTAGCTTATTTTAGTTAAAAAATCTAAACTTGATCATGTAAAAATAATTTAGTACTGAGGCTTTTACCTCTTGGATATATTGTGGGCCTCACTCTCACATACGTATAGACTTTCTACATGCCTATACGGATCGTATTACGAGATCTCTCACAAACTTGATGCTGCTGACTATCGTCATCGTCCAATGTACAATAGGTATATAATCTATTGTGCATTGGACGATGGATCGACGAGAATCCAGTATGGATGACCTTTTTTACCGTCTAGAAAAAATAGGGTGTAACCGGTGAACGGAATAGAAGCCGAAATTGATCTATTAATAAATGCTACTAATTGGGTACGTATTATTTTAATTTCCATAATTTTTAATTGATTTGCTTATTTAGTTCGAAAACTTTTTATTTTTTTTTAGTACAGAAAGTTTATTTCAAATTAGTAGTACTTACAGATAGATCAATTTCATAATATGTTAATGTAAAATAAAAAAAAAGTAAAAAAATCAGTGCCATAGGCTTGTAATCCGTTCACCTGTATATTATTGTGTGTATTTTCCAGACGGTAAAAAAATCATCCAGTATGAAATTCTTCTGTCCAGTGATTGAACAACTAAGCGGCTGGATCGATTGTGATGCAATTTTGTGTGTGTAAAGTT